TCTCTCTGATCTTGTGGCAGCCTTGCCTCCCTCACGGCGAAATAGAAGTCTCCGTGCCTCTTTGGGGCAGTCCTTAGCTGGCTTGAGTTTTATTGGATCAGGCTGCCTCGCTGCAGCAACTGCTTGAATTTGTCGGTTCTTCGGCTTCCTTTTGGTGACCTCCTGCCATTCCTGTCCTCCAGGTCTAGTAGAGAGTAGCGCTGCTAGGTCTGCAAATGTGGGCTTCTGCTTTGATTTTTGGCTCGTCACTTCTGTTGTCTTGGAGATGATGTTGTTCTCGTGCTGGTTCATTTGACTCAATTGGGCATTGGTTGTTGGCGTATCTTGCTTCACTGGTCCAATTCGCTGAATTGAGTGTTGGGCCTCCATGAGCTCTGTACGAAGCTTGCTGACTTCCAGTTCCAGATTCGTGATTCGCTCAAGATAGATTCCTTCATGGAGTTGTTGTTCTGCTTTCCAGTTGGATAGCTCCTCTGCCATGTGTGCTTGCACTTGTTCTAGGACCACCTGGTACACTTCCTGTTGCTGTGTTTGGGCTGCTTCTAGGGCCCCCACTAACACCTGGGCGTGCTTGCTTGCATCTAGTAGGGAAGCCTGATGCTTTGGCCTACCAATAAATGACTTTTGTAGAACCCTTCGTTGTCTGATTCCACTTCTAGCCTCGCTGGCCCGGCTGGGGGTCCTGCTGGAACCCCCAGGTTGCCAGCGCTCCTGGTCTTCATTTTCATCTATGCTCATAACCTCCACACTGCTATCACTGAGCATGGGCTGCATCGCATTCCTGGATCGCCGGTGGGTTGGTGTTGGGGTGCCTGGCATGTCTGGCGTTCCCGTGAGCTGGGAGGCCACGTTGCCCACTCCGGGGGGCAACACGTGCGATATACCACCACCACGGGGTCTCTGTGCCTCCATGGTGGTTTATAGGTGCCAGAGGGCCCCTATCGGTTGATTAACGCGTGAAAATTACGTATTTTTCGTGGGTGCTGATTTTTTTTAGTTGAGTTCTCGTTCCACGAAGAGGTTTATAGATGCCCTATAAATGGCACGTAATGTAGGAGACGATATTCCGGTAATATATTAAAGGAACCTAAGACGTTGGCTTTGTGTCATCAGTTTCGTGATGTTTGCACCTTGTTTGCTATTACCTGGGTCAGGCAATGACTCACTGCATTCAGACTTGTGATAGCACATGGAGGGACTCGGAACCTTGGTCGAAGTATGCATGGTGACAGCCTTGTTCACGATGTTGTGCTTACAGTATATTGACAGACCTTGCACATGTACGTCTGAAAGACTTGCTGCTCTCAGAGTCTGAAATCCAAGGAAGGTCGGATAAAAGCCCTAAGAGTGACCATCACGTGCTTCGATGCCTGAAATCTGGCAATGCGAGAATGGAAAGTATAGACCTTGTTTTGATTTAGGAGACGGAGTTTGCATTTGCAGCCGCTTGATTCGATACTGGATAGCATTATCTGTGTTGCTCCTTTTTCTCTTCTTGTTCAGTAGAGTGTGTCATGTTACTCTCTGTCTCTTCATCTTTGTTAATAAATCAACTAACTACCATCGCCATTTAATTCCAACAAAGCACAGGCATAACCCATACACCTCTGCTGTCGACAGCTTATTAAATACAGTTTGTACAAAGCCCTTGGCATCGCCTGGGATGACCCTGAACGCGTCCTGCCTTACATCCGGCCAAGACCAACCAGAATGAACCCACAACTGTCTGACAGATAAAGCGGCAACCTGCAAGCGCGGCTACGTTTACATTGGCTGTATTAACTCATTTGGTAAGTCAGGGCCTTGGACGTCTGTGAAAAAATGAGCATATTGATGTCGAGAGCACTATCAAATTGCTAGCTTTTCTTAAACAACAATTCTATAGCTGATAATATTGACAGCGTAACGCTAGAAGCTCCTGTAAGCATCTAAAATGGAGCAGACACAAGTCTACTCAGCTTTACAATAGAGCCAGACAGAAAACAGACACTCGATACCAGCAAAGACTTAGGACAAGGTGGACACCATTGAGCTTGGTGGAATCATTGACAGTTTTGCACTACGCGGTTCCTGTCAGACAAATCGGTTCCCTGCTTCAGACTCATTGATATGCTGGGTAACGGTTATCGACAGAGCCCAAGCCACGCCGCGGCCTCACATATGCATGCAGAAAGCGCTACGTATCTTCCAACGAGCAATCAAGATTCAAATCCCTGCCAGTCAAGCGCCGGTTCTTGCAGGGATCGAACAATACGCGCAGAGACTGAATAGTTGAGCTATATTGATAGGTCGAGGCATTCTCAAAGTCGACCATTTCAAAATCACGCCCACTTGCATTGAACTACGTTGTCCCAACATCCCTGCTTCGAAGAAGATAGAAGAAAGAAGGCTCACTTCTTTCACACAAAACGGATGCAGGTGGGGCTTCCAAATATAGGCGGGGGCTAGTGATTGTGGTTGATTCTCTTATGGTCTAGAAAGTTGCTGGGATTAAAGTCCAGGTCGTGGCCAATTACTAAGTACAAGCAAACCGCCAGGAAGCTATTTTCTGGTACCTGGTACCTGAAAATTTATTACAAAAAATGCACAACAAAGAGACTATGAAGAAGTTACACGGTTATCTCCAGAATTGGCCTCTTAAGATTCTTCAATACATTACCAGAATATCAGCTCCTGTTCATTCAGATATCATGTACATCTAGTTGGCTACTTTTAAGCCCTTCCTGCCCAATCATGAAGGTAATAACTCTAACCCATCAGTCATTACTCATGAGAGACATTTCCTATACCAAATTTTCCGCAATAGAAGAGAATGCTTATCGTGCCGCTGACCACAGAAGCCCACTTCGTGGTGGAAGGAATCGCCAAAGACTTTCTACCAGATGCCAGTAACTGGACTCTATGGGCTGAAAGCACAATCTTGTGCGCAGGCCCGTGGTTGGCGCGTCGAGTGACCAAGTTGATCAGGCTGTTGGATGAGATTCCCAAGGTTTCAATCCCTAATTCCGCACTTTCTAACCATTTGCTAATTAAAAATTTCATGCCAACAGGAACAAGATTTTGAGTGGAACGTCTATAAATTCACCCGATCAATGAATCTCTCTCCTAGACACGAAGGAGATTGGTTAGTTGTCATCCCCTTGACTGAGGGCGCAACCCTTTCCACTGGAGGTAAACTGTACAAGGGATTTGCAGCAGTTGTCGATGATCGCTGGGATTTCAGTCCGGGCGTGCCAATGATTTTCTTGAGGCCTAAGATCCTGGTCCCCAGTCCCATACCTCCACGAAGAGAATGGATTTCAACTCAGCTTAATGAAAAGAAACGAACTCTCCGAGAAGAGATTAGGGCACTATTGCCTCAGGTTAGCACTTCGTGGGATCGCAACACGCACGAAATAAAGTACTCTAGCGATGACTTGACCAAGAAGCTGTGCGAGCTGGGAGATGGCATAGTACAGGAAACGGTTCTAACCCCCTTCTAAGCACCTTTTGAAAACACTGGCTAACAAGGTCACTTATTGTAAGCAGAGACTGACCTGGACTGTTGCCAAGTTTCCTGTACCCAAAAGGGTTACTAACGAAAGGAGTTGGATGATTATCATCCCTTTATATGAGAATACAATCCTAACTCCTTGGGGTAGGTTGGAAGATGATTCTTACACATGGATTCCCGATGAGCCAGTTATGCCAGCAGATACACCAGTCATAATCTGCCGTTAATAGGCGTCCGTTCATACTGAGACACGGTATGGTATGTCAAGCAGGCGGGATGTTCTTGTTCGAGGAGACCAAAATTTTACATCGAAGATTTTCTGTTTTGAGAGTTCTTCAAGAATCAAATTCCTTTGAAGTTCTGTACGGCCGCACACAGAGCTAGAGGCAAAAAGGAGTATTATGAGCTTTGGAGCCCTAAGAAAAGCTTGACCACCGGTCGCGACGCCATACACGGTGTCCGACGCTTTTTTTTTGACCTTTTTCAAATGTTGAAAGATAGCTATAACATGAGCCGGCATAGAATATATTGAAGCAATCATCCTTAAAAAATATATCCAGACACATTTTGCACTGGACCACGGCCTGGAAGTTCTCCCCAATTCTCCTTGCCTCTACTATAGATAGGTTGCACTTCATTCATTCCTGCATGTCATACCACAGGCTGTAATCGGCCTTTCCTTTGAGCAAATCATTCTCGCCACGCAAATATACTTTCCATTTGCCCATACGTCTTCTGCTGAAGATGCAGGGACACAGATCGGTCGGGGGGAGTCCGTACTCCTTTGACAAGCAAGTACCTGTATCGCTGACATGCTGTGGTATGCTACGGGGCTTATAAGCGAACAGTATAATATCGCTAGGCAAATGATAGGCCTCGACTCCAATACTTGTTAGCTATCTAGTCACCTATCTCTATCTGGAAAGGATGTCAAAATCATACCCGGAATATCAGTGTCTTCTCGACCGGCTACAACCTTCATCCATGGACACGTCCGCCTTGGTTGGGAAAACTTCAATGCTCATTGTATGTAAGCTATTGCTTTTCCATTTCGTTGCGGCTTTCAAGGAACCGGGTATCTTTGGAAAGGGATCGCGAGCGTTGCCAACTCGTGTGCAAGCTCTAAGAGCTCTTAGTTGAGTCGTCAAATTTTCTGCTAATCAAATCTACCGATTGGTATAGCTTGTTCTAGCTTCTTTGGACAATTTGTCATTTGAAAATAATCAAGAGGATAGGAAATAGGCTGACGGATGGGTGGAAGCGATTATGGTAGATGATACGAAGGAGGCAAGATTCTGTTGGCATAAGAGATTAAGAATATGTAAAAGTGAATATAAAACCAAATCAATGTATTCAAAACTCCTCGATGCTGAAAATCTATATATGTCTATTATGCAAATGCTCGCCAATGCAGTGAATGCTCAAAATACCAATGAACCAACTCTCAACTATAGCCAAATGCAATGCAATCCAACAGTCACCTAAAATCTCCACTGCGCCAGCCAATTACCCATTAAATCCCCCGAGATAGCACCTAGTGAGTTCATCGTCCTACTCGCTTCCTTTGTCGCCGCGACATCAATCGGAACCGACAACGCCCCCTCTTCACCATCCGCCAACGCGCGGTAAAAGTCAAGCAGCTTAAGAGCAGGCTTCTCCTGAATTTGCTCCGCAGTCGGATTCTCGATTTTCTCGAGCTCATTGATCCACTCTGCAATTGAGACAACCTGCACAGGGTATACGGCCTGGATGGCGGGGAGGAGAGTGTCCCAGGTTGTGACGGTGGGGTTGACGAGGTTGAAAACTGCGCAGCGGAAGCCGTTGTTTGACTGGGTTTTGCGACGGGTGGTGATTAGGTCCAGTATGATGGACGCCAATGAGTCGACGGGGATCCAGTCGACAGGTGTCGAGCCCAGTGCGTCGGGAACTTTACCCAGCGACTTGGAGGTTGCGACGATAGTGGGAACCCACTCCTGGCGGGACCAGAGGCCCTTCTCGCTCGTTGGACCTGCAATTTGGCCCACGCGGTGGACAGTGGTAGGTACGCCGGAGCGGCGGGAAGCTTCGAGGCAGATCCGCTCGCCAATGTGCTTAGATTCACCATAGCCCTGAGGGAGGACGACATCGGTGTTCTCGATGGGAGCGGATGGGACAGCGGGGCCGTTGGAAACTTTCCAAGCGCCGATGGTAGCCACGGAAGAGACGAAGTGGATGTGTGCGTGGTGGTTGCTTTGTAGGGAGAAATCGACGAAGCGGCGGACAGAGCGGATGTGTACATCTTCATAGGAGTCGACGGTGATGTTGAAGTCGACACGCCAGGCGTTATGGATGATTGTGTCGACACTTTGCAGCATTTCGGCGTACTTGTCAGCAGACAGGCCGAATTGCTCTGCACCAAACGAGGCTTGGAGGAATTCGACTCTGTTCTGCGGGTCTGGACCGAAGGTCAGGCCTTTCTCTTCGAAGCTCTTAATCTGTCGTTCCTTAGCTTCAGAGCGGTTCAGACAGTACACCTTGGCAATTTTCGGGTCCTGAAGGAGGGCGCTGAGGATGTAGTTGCCCAGCGAGCCGGTCGATCCGGTGAGGATAACTGCGTGCTTGTCGCTGGTATTGTGCACATCCTGCGTCTGTACAGGAAGATCGTTGGTGTACTTCTCAAGTAGCAAGCTGATCTTCTCAGTCCGGGGCACGCCGCCCTCGACGGAGCCATGCATTAAACCATAGACGAGACGGGCGAGGAGTTCGATAGTGGGACTTGCATAGATGTCCTGCGACGAGATGGACCAGGGGCTATCCGGGGACTGGTAAGACTGCAGAGCCTTGCGGAGGACATTGCTGAGTTGCATAGTCTGCAGCGAGTCGAGACCAGCCGCGTAGAAGTCGGTTTGGTCAGACAGATCTGAGGAGTCGAGAACGTGCGAGACGATGTTCCGTAAGTAAGCCATAACGGTCGACAAATCAGCGTCCTTGGGCAGTTCAAACTCAGTTCCCTCGTTATCCTCCCTGCTGTAAATGGCATCAATCTCCTCAGCATAGTTCTGAAGGGTTTGCCGGCGCCTGGTGCTGCCCTTGGGTGTGATCCCGAACGGTTTGCTTTGAAAGGCGACACCGATCTTGCTCTTCATAATCCGACCGTGAGCCGGTCCAGCCTGATTAGCTTTCTGCACCATGGGCCAGATACTCTCGATGAGCTCATTGGCTGGCTTGTCCTCACTCCAGAAGTGCCAGTTAGGCTCGACGAGCAATGCAGTCTGGAACCGGCCTTGACCAATAACTAGAGCACGCGAGACCAAATGGTGTCCTTCGATGATTTTCTCCATAGTGATCGGATTGAGCTTCTCTCCGTTGCTGAGCACAAGCACATCATCGTTACGACCAATGTACTTCCACAAACCGGGCCGAGTTGGGTGTGGTGCAAAGAGATCTTTGGTGTGATAGCCATTGGAATTGGGGTAAGTGTGGAAGATAGCATGCTTGTTGGTATTCGCGGGTCTGGGAATCACTAGCTCATAGATGTCTTCGCCCGCCGGCTGCATCTCGAGGCCGTAGGATGGAGCCCACTCGAAATACATCCAGTCTTCTTCGTGCTCTGGAAGCAGAGTAGGCATGAAGCCAGACTCACTGCTTCCGATCCAGTTGATCAAGCGGGTGTGTCCAATGATATGGTTTCCCGCTTCTGGAGACAGAGGCGCACCGGCATAGAAGACATAGCGTAGGTTAGATAGTGCTTTCATCGAGGCAGGTGACTTGGTCATGTCCTCCAGAATGGAGGGTGGGAACATTGCGGCCGTGGGCTTGGCCACGTTCAGTATATCTGTCGCGAGCTCGGCTGACATGGGCTTGTCGGGAGCAAGAATGAATGGAATATCATGGAATGCAGATAGCAAGAAGATAGTAAGACCCATAAGGTGAAAGAATGGAGTGGTGGTGATAATGTAGTTTCCTGGCTCGAGAATGTAGGGCATTCCCCAAGCGCGTCCTGAGGGAACAGGCAGGGTGGGGATCTGCTCAAGAGCGCCGACGAAGCCGAAGGTGAGGTACACTGGTTTAGGCAGTCCTACTCGTAGTCAGCATATGCTGGGATATCTTTGTGGGTATGGTTGAGCACTGTACCTGTTGTACCGGAGCTGTGGATGATAAAAGCCGTGTCATTCTCGATTTCCTCGTACGTCTTGGAGAATGGGTAGGAGGAGGTCTGCGATTCAAGCATCTCGGCAAAAGTAGGAAGCTCCTTCACATCCAGACCGAGACGAAGGTTCTGGAGTTCCAACCCTTTCTGGCTTCTCTCGGCAGTGTATACCAGACGTGAGCAGTCGGTAGCGTCGAAGAGGCTCATGTTTGCTTCGTCTGAATTCCGGGTCGATGAGAGTAGCGGCTGCCGTACATTAACATCTGCTCCACCTTACCTCTTTTTCCAGGGTCAGAACTCACCCTATAGCCAGTCTTGTTACACGCCACAATCATAATCAGATACCGAATGTCATTGGCGCCGATAAAGGTCAAGGTATCGTATTTGTCACTGCGGCCATAGTTCTCCTCGATCCACCAGGCAGTATAATTGATTGCGTGGACAAGTTCCTTGTAGTTCAATTGCCGGAAGCCATCGTCCAAAGTCGAATTGCTGTTGGGAATAGAACCGGCGATCTTGTCTGGGTAGAATTGACCCAGATGGTCGATGACATGAGGCAAGAGCCTCTTGCCTACGTTTCCGGGGCGAGTCACGGCCATAAGCTGTTGCAGCGGGTTTTTCGATTATAAAAGACGAGGATATTTTCAGGGAGTTCGAATAAAGGATACAGATTGGAGAGTAAGAAAAGTGTGAGATGATGCGAACCAAAGGAAATCAGAATGAGCGACAAAGACCACCCTTATATACCTCTCTGGTATCGGGTGTAGCGGGTCTCATTGCGTATACAGAAGCCTTTCGGAGTATGTAGCCTGCATTACAGGACGGTCTTCATCGACTATGCCTTCAACATCGTTCATAGTGGCGATTATGCCCCCACCCCCACCTCCTCAGTGTTCAAAGTTTAGCCTGATGCCGATTAACCCGAAATGGTGGCAGTTCGGATCTGGCCCTGCACTATTGACGATAGGCAGCTAGCCAATGGGGCCATCTGATTGATCAAGAGCACACAAGTGGAGAGATGTGGGCACTGGCGCAGCGCTGGTTGTTTTCTAGAACTCTTCATCCCTGTTGTCAATCAAGCCAGTCGATGTGAAGCACTCCGTAGTATATCTGGAAAGTCCTGACGGAGAGCATTCCTGTGTATCTACGTGCCCTCGCTTTCTCAACAGCCGAACTCATACCCTGCAATACTCCCGGGGACAAAACAAGATCGAAGCAGTACAAATGCATTCGATCCTAACCGGGTAACCGGGGACCGACCACCAATCAACGGACATGTCGATCAAGCCTCAACCCCGGCAAGCCGCACGGCATGGCATATCGGTATTGATGCTCGGCAACCCGGTGGCCTTTCGGGTTGTTGTTCCTTTTTGGAATGCTCGCATCAAGCCAAAGCAGGTTTGATAGTATGCAGTAGACGGATAATCGCATAGAATTGCGTGAGAATGGATTCCAAATCATGTCAGGATCATGATGCCGATATCCTCCATTATGCAGTGCGCCTATCCGAAGCTTATTTGGTGCAACTGTGTGCTAGTAAAACATCCGTTTGGCTCGGCTGCATATCCGTACAGTAGTAGCAAACAGATCGAGACTTGGCTCTGATCGTTCCATGGTTTTTTTGCCGTCTCTGCCTGTTCCGATCAAACCAAAGCCTTCGTTTTCCAGAACAAACTTCGGCCTCGGGACACCATGATGATCTGATCAAATCTTATCATCTAAACAGTTAAATTCCCGTGTTGACACAACTTCACGGGCTTTTCTGTAGTAGTACAAGGCGATGGATGTACTCTCTGTACAGTCCGGAAGATGCGGTTATCCATTGTTCCCAATCAGGTAATATGTTCCGCACGGCAAAGGCCACTCTGCATGCGATGATGTACCACTACATAGTACATGAATAGTTCTGGCCAAAGCAATCGGGAAAGAAAACGGCTCATGATATCTATCATCCTGTACAATGACCACGTTCCGAAGAGGTGCGGAGGTATATTTTGCCCTGGTCTATAATGCCGGTAGAAGTGGTTAAATGATCACCAAGGATGGATCTAGCCAAGAGACCGTCTCATTTAAGCATCGAGCTAACAAGGGCATCAGTTATGGTTAATTCAACAAATACCAAGCTTGGTTAATCCTCTACCATTTGAGATTTACAGTGAGTCCCTTCGTTCACCCGAAAACCTTCCTGCGTCGATATTTGATAGCACCCCTCACAATACAACTCCGGACTCCTAACTCACTTTCTATGCTATAAGCACCATATATATATATACACGACCACGATCAGTCCTCCACCATCCGAAACCCTCCTACTTGAGATTTGGCAAATACCGCAACAGCTCCCTGTCCTTCAACAATGAAGACAACGAGGTGGCTGCCAGAATCCCAGTCTGCCGACCGACCTCTGCCAGAACATTCATCATATATTTGTCAATCCCGGGAATGGTCGCAAAGAGGTTCATGCTAGTGCACATGTGGATGACGACATAGAACGGCCAGATGAGGAGTCTTGCACCGGCTGTGATTGGCTCCTTTGCGGGCGCTGGGTTCGGTGTTGGTATCCAGCCAACTAGCTGCGCAGCGCTGCACAGGATGCCGTTTATCATCTGGAGGAGGGTCTCGAGGGATTCTTGGAAAACTGAGATGTGAGTGGGTGATAGGAATCGGGGCGGAACGGCGCTAAAACCTTTTAGCATTTGCGATCGGATGAGTTGATGGAGGAGGCAGCGGCCGCTTCGGAGGCTATTCCATGCGTATAGGGTCCAGACGCTGGGGTAGATATGGTAGGTTTCTTTGTGGAATCCGGGTCCTGGGGGATCGACGCAGGTTTGGTACGGCATCTCGGCCGAGAGACGGGCGGAAATGGTCTTGAATTCAAGGTCGAGATCCAGGGCGTCTTGCAGGAGCTGATCCATGTCGCTATCGTTAGTCGAGCCGTTGGTGACTCTCGATCGCAGTGAGGTGAGCTTGATCACTGCGTCTCCAATGTGCCATATAGGCGACTTGGTGTCGATGTACTGGGCACATTGCTCCCGGAGTTCGATGATATACTGAGGAACAGGGAGCCCAGTCTGGATGCAGTTTGTCGCGAGATTCTGGAAAATGTGCTGGAACATTTGCAGCCCGATCTTGTAGGTGAACTGGTGCGTTCCTCTCAGTTTCACCAACAGAGCTGCTCCGTTCACATGCTGCGTCCAAAAGTGCAGAAACTGGCCGTCAACACATGTAATCTGCTCGAAAAAGCTCAGCAGCATCACCCCGAGCAGGGTCGAGTCTTGCACAGCCTCCGATGGCACCCTGAGTGCGTTGTTGACCATTCTTAGGCTTTTGACGTATTCCTTTCTCGCTTGTATTAAAATCTGCTTTTCAGATCGGACGTTGGCTAGACTGGCTAGGCCAACTGCCTTGATACAGGCGGAAATCATCTGGTTATTACCGGTGCGGAAGATGATGCCCGCGAAGTCGAGGAACATGGGGTCCGGATCGCTGTGTTCTTGCAACGGACTGAGTTGCGTATGTTGCTGGAAAAAGACGGCGATTCCAAGATCACGCAGGCCTGGTGCAATGGATGGCGTTAAGGGTGGGATGAAGTGCGGTACGGTTGGAATATAACCATGCGGTGGCGTTACAAGTATAGAATGTTGGGGGTGGACTCGGCCCGTTGGAATTAATGAGGTGGTTTCACCATTTGCAGTCGCTGATGGGCAACGCCTTCCTTCTGGGGGAGGCTTTCTCTGGCTTGGTGCACCAACTTTCTTCCGCACCCAGTGGCCCTGGTCTTTAAACAGCAAATCGACATAGTCTCTGTATCCCGGACAAGGACGTCGGGCCCTTGCACACTGACGACAGCCACGTGGGTTTTGGTCACACTACGGGGTAAAGTGTCAGTACTTTGGAATAGGAATAAAAATAGGAATATGCGGATGGCCCACTCCAATCTTCCGCTGTCGACAAGCTCTGCAGGCTTTAGACGGCGGTCCACAGTAGACTAGAGACGAGTTAGCTGGCACGCTGGTGGTGAGATGAGGAGACTCGCCCATTCCAGATATGTTAATAGTCGGACCGAGACCAGCAGCCAACTATGGAAGAAAAACACTCATGTCCAAAATCTCTCTCCTTGTATGGTGTTGTCCAAGTCGGGACGGATGAGGCAGTGCTGTGATTCTGACAGTAGTAGGCTTCAAGATTGAGTCTCGCACTAACCGCATCGGGTCTGCTGAGCGAACAACGGCGCCCTCTGATTGGCTGTTCGCTCTACTCCCCAAATAGGGAATCAGTAGGGCTTCCCTCAGTCTCACGCAGTTTGTACTGTTTTTCCCCCAGCTACCAAAGTATAAGTAGGCATAATATGCCCTGGGTGGTATGTATTATGTGCTCTACACGCCAGTACTTTGACATTCCTGCAATACTATGCCCGTCGACTATCGCCATGGCCTCTCCATCCTCGACCTCCTTGTCTACATTCCCACCCTCTTCATTGCCGTATGGCTGGCCTTCCACCATGGCTTCACCAGGAGTGCCAGCTGGATTTTTTTCGTCTTATTCTCCCTCATACAAGTAATTGGGTCATGCTGCTACCTCGCGACAATCAGCAACCCAACCTCCGAGGACCTCTACATTACCTGGGCCGTGTGCAGCTCCATCGGGCTCTCGCCCTTGATCCAAGCTTGTATCAGCATGTTATCTAGAGCGTAAGGCGCAGCACCCGCCCTCCGTTCTTAACCCGCAGAGCCAAACTGACAGCAACAGGAACGACTCCATTGAACGCAAAACCGGCCAATCCCTCCACCCTTTGGTCTTCAAAGCAACAGGAACCATTACTATCATTGCCATTATCCTCAGCATTATCGGAAGCACCCAATCTACGAATATCATGCATAACATGTCCAACCCCAAGACCAAAGCCAGTCTGGTTCTGTTCCTGGTTGCGTGGTTGGGGCTCGGTATTCTGCTGCTCCTCATTGGCGCACATTTCTCTACCATCGAGGCCGGTGAACATCGTCTGCTGTTTGCTGTTGGCGTCTCGATGCCCTTGATTCTTATCCGTCTTGTGTATTCGTATTTGTCTGTTTTTGGACAGAGGACGGAGTTTAATATGTTTACGGGAAATGTGACTATTATGTTGGTGATGGTGGTGCTGGAGCAGATTGGGGTTGTAGTGGTGTGTTTGGGAGTTGGGTTGACGCTGGACAAAAGGGATGCGCTGGTACGCCCATTGGAACAGGTAGATTGAATCAGCGTGACCTTTGAATATGCATTTCCTACACGGTGATATCGAGTTATACAAAGAGTATCGATTAATGTCATCAGATTGAATTGATTTTGTCCCTGCCCTTCATACACCAAGATGAAAACGCCTAACTTGCAAGTGGCAGATCAGTAAACAGAAACCCAGGACAGACCCCAAAGACATGCCTTGCCTTGTCAAACATCATAAATCTGTACATCAATAGCAAGTGACAAGACAGAGCAGAAAAGACTCCGGAGAGAAAAGAGAAAGAAACATAAAGAAACAGAAGTTAAGAGGAAAAGCACGTTATTAGACATTCGCCTTCTTGGCTTCTTTTTGCGCAAGCTTAGCCAGCTCTTCATATGTCTGGCTGAAATCCTCCCCATCGTCGTCCTCGCCCTTCTTGCCCTTGGCGGCCGACTTGGGCACAACCATGATCACACTCGTGGGGCGCTTGGTAGCGGCAGAATTACCGAGCTCAGCGCGCGATGTGACAAAAACGTAGGGGATACCGTGGTCTTCGCAAAGGAGGGGAATGTGCGAGATGACGTCCATGGGCGAGATGTCTCCAGCAAGCACGACAACACCGTTGGGGAGAGGCGAAGACTCGTTGGGAGCGGGAATGGGCGATTTCCGGAGGGCCTTGACGACTTCCTTGACACCGCGCTTGAGGCACTTGTTGACAGCGGCTATCGAGAGAAAAAAAATTATTAGTGTCATGTGTATGAATCGATCATTAATTGAAACTCGATTCCAGACTTGACTCCGACCACGCGCCAATCGAATTGGACCAGATAAACATCGAATGGATCCGCAGTTCGTATAAAGATGTAGAATAGCACTTAGACTTACCCTTCTTAACACTCTTCAAGACCTTCTTGGCCGACTTGTCTTCGACCAGAGGGTTGGCAAACGGCACAAGAGCACCGGCGGGACGGGCACCGTCGACTTCCATCTGCTCAACCTCGACCTCGACATCGCCATTGGTCTTCTCGGCCTGGTCAATTCCATCCAGAACCTTGGACGTCAACTCTTCCTCAACAGCATTGGTAAGAGCAGTCTTGTCCTTCTTCTCCTTCTTCTCCTTCTTCTCCTTCTTAACTCCGTCCTTCTCCGAGCGCTTTTCCTTCTTCTCGCGCTTCTCCTTCTTCTCAGTCCGGTCCTTTGCCATTGCGACGTGTGCTTAAGTCGGGTTTTAAAAAATTGGGGGTGAGTTGTGGTTGGTGGTCGTCTGTCCAGAATCTGAAAAGAGAAAAGAAAGAAAAAAAATCGCAGACCGCCGGCGCTAGTCCGTTTTTGGTATGCGAGCTTGCGGTGCGGCTGACTCAGCGCTTCTCCCAATCGGGCGTCGCAGCAGAAAACAAGCAAAGGACGACTCTCAAGGCAACTCGACCGCGTTTCTGTTTTATTTGACCTACTGGAGAGGACTCTCTAGGAGAGTTGTGGTATGCCGGATTGTATTATTTATTTGCCCTGATTATATTGTACCGGCAATTGCTGGGTCCCACGTTTTGGTACCAAGGTTAGTATTTTGATCACTACGCAGGTTGCGGAGCTTGTAAGAAGTCTAACCATCTCCAGATGGAGCCAGATAGGGAAAGGCGACTGTCCATTAGCTCGCTCGCCGAAGGATTTTCTCCGTTACCAATTCCAAGAGCCCGCCAGTCCTTGCGACAATCCGTCCGTCCACCGCAGCCTCAGAAGCCTGGTCCTGGTAAGAACGGCTATACGATGGGAGGGTCTTTTTGGAGGACTGACAAAATACACGTGCAGATACCGAGAAGGAGGAACTTCGCGTGCAGATTAGCACCTTACGATATGAATTGGAAAATATAAAACAGGAGCGTGATGTGACAGAACTACGTCACGAGAAGGAACTTCGAGACTTACAACTGAAGGCGGATGCGGATTTTCGGAAGGCTCAGGTCTGTTCACAGTCCTATGATACGGACTAACAAGGGTACTGACCGTTTGTTTTGAATAGGCCGCCGAATCGGCTAGTCACCGTGCGAACCACAAGAGCGAGACTCTCGCCAAGGAGCTCAAGGATGTCCAGGACAACGCGCTCAACGAGAAAGTCGGGCTCGAACGGAAATTGAGAACAGCTCAAGAACAAAATCAAAATCTGCACGAAGAGATCAGCGACGTTCAGGCACAACAATCAGACCAGGAACGACAGTACAAGTACCAAATCAATGAATTAGAAGCCGTCCGTTCGTCCCTCCAACAAACGATCGAAGCCCTTCAATCCGAAGTCGAAAGCGTGAAACACGAACTCCATGGAGCCCAAGGGCGGCTATCTGAACAAGAGGCTAATGTAGCAGAGCTGGAAACAGAGAATATTCATCTTAAGGCGGAGGGAAGCGATGCGGAGACGCTGGCCGTTCTCAAGAGAGAACTTTCCGACCAAGTAAACCATATCAGGAACCTCGAAACTACCAATCGGGAACAAACGGCGGAGTTGCGGCATTTACGCAAGATCCAAAGAAATGTCGAGGTTGTGGAGGAACAAAGGAAGTCGCTGGAAAATCAACTTCAGCTGATGAAGGAGGTTGAGTCGGAACTGGGCACTGTTCAGATCCAGAAGCAGATGCTGGAAGATGAACGAAAGTCATGGACCAGCCTGCTACAGGATAATGACGAGCCAGCCGAATTGGACTCTCCGGACGCGGTTGTAAAAGCTTTGCTGCGAGAGCGCATCGAAAAAGCGACCTTTGTGGACAAGTTAGGAACTATCGAGGCGCAATTCTTGGAGAAAGATGAAATGATCAAGGCGCTTGAAACGGAAAAGATAAACCTGCGACAAGAACTGGCCAAGGTCCAATCTGCCGGTGGAGCCGGAAACTCCATGACAGACAGTCGGCTCAAGGCAAGACTCGAACGTCAGCGCGCCCTTGCCGTCAAGGAGATCGAATATCTCCGTGAACAACTAAAAACTTTCGACACGGAAGAGATTACGATGAACGAGGAGAACCGCTTCGATGAACAGAAATCGGAGCAAATTGCACACCTGGAGAAGATCATCGATGAATACCGAGGAGAATTGCAAAAGGCTCATGAAGAGCTTGCTAATCGGGAAGCTCCTCGGCCAGAGGAGCCCCGGGGAGTCAAACGGCCTCTTTCCCCTGCTGAGAGTGACGCAGAAAACGAGCGTCTTTCCGTGCTATCCCGCAAGAACAGGATCCTGCAAGAATCGCTATCCAAGTCGGAGCAAGGCGCCAAGCTCCTCCATCAAGAACTCAAAGCGGCCAAATCCCACCTCAGACACCTCCAAGCCAAATCTCGCACCCGAGTCCTCGAATTCCGTGATAACCCTACTGCACAAGCCGAGAACATCAAGCTCTCCACTCTCACCACCCTCAAAGCCGAAAATCGCGATCTCCTCGCCCAAGTCCGCGGCAATTCTTTCAATGTCAAAGTCGTTCCTGCGACCACCCTCGAAAGCATGAAACTTGAGATCCAAGACATGGAACGCTCAGTAGCCGACAAGGAGAAACGCATGCGCCGTCTGAAGGAAATCTGGACGGCCAAGTCCTCCGAGTTTCGCGAAGCAGTTGCTTCTCTGCTGGGCTACAAGTTGGATTTCTTACCCAATGGGCGGGTACGCGTTACATCTATGTTCCATCTCTCGCCTGCATATCGACATGGTGACCCAGGGGCATCGGATTCCGGTGGACCGGGAAGTATGGGCAGTGGTGAAGAGAACTCGATTATCTTCGATGGAGAGAACGGTACGATGAAGATCTCAGGAGGTCCGAACAGTCTCTTCGCCATGGAGATTAAACCACTCATTAAGTTCTGGGTTGAGGAAAGGAAGGACATTCCTTGCTTCCTTGCGGCGATGACATTGGATTTCTATGATAAGACTACAAGAGCTGGAAGGATATAAATAATTCTCACTTTCCCATTTCCTTTGTTTTCATCTGCTTTTCCTGGTTGCTTGGTCATTTATACTTCTTGACTTTTGATATTTGGGATCTTTTGGTTCATATTCCTTTTGTATCATGATTCCCCAGCACCTGCTGCTCGTGCTATGTTTTTCTTGCTACTTCACAATTTTACTATAAGCGAATTATACAGACTGTATACTGTGATGAGACATCAGCGTATGTAACATGAGGAATTTGATATCCTATTTTGCGGTCATGTAATTTTTCATCTAGGCTATCAGCATATATCTGTTTGAAGTCAAACAATCATAAACATCGCATACGTAACAGGTCATCGTATCTAGTATACATAAAACCATCATGTCACTGCATCAAGCAGCATTATATATCCAGGAATTCAGCCAAACCACTTCCGCCCAACGGGCTCCGGCAAATTCACGTTCGACCACCTCTTCTTGGGCTTTTCCAATGGCCGCGAATGCGATACCCCGCCAACACTCCCAACCCTCCCCATAGTAACATTTCTCAGCGGCCCATGACCCTGCACATGGGGCGGTGGTCTAAAATACTCCGCAAAAGGATGTCTCCCCCCAACCTCTCCACACTCCAACCTAACCCAAACCTCATTAAACGGTGCAAACCGTCTCTCCTTGCACTCACTCACTCCTACCCGTTTATGAATCTCCTTCCGAATCAACGGCGGATCCATGCAGTGCGGGATCTCATGGACGGTGATGTTGCACTGGTCGAAGGGCTCTGTCCAAAAGAGCTCTGCGTCGACGGAGACGTGGTCGACGTATTGCAGGCGGTGGTCTTGGAGGTTTTTCACAGAGATAGCCTGGCAGGTGCCAGCTTGGATGTCGAATTCGTGGCTTATCTGGTCGTGGTATTCGTAGGATTCTAGGTCTGTGTAGGGCTCGCCGGGGCAATTGGGGTAGAAGTGTGTCCAGACGCGGGCGGAGCTTATGGCGGCTATAGGTGTTAGGTGGAAGAGGAGGAGGGTGATCTAGTATTGAGTTAGTTATCTTGGGTTTGGTCCTTTGAGGGTTAGACGTACTTTTTGTAAGTTCATGATGTAGGTGAGTGCCAGCACTTGTATCAGTTAATCAACAATGACTTCAAGTATGAACAACGCTTGAAATAGAATTTATGTATTTTTCGTATTTTGTGTACACTTGATTTGATGGAAGCTACGGCCGGAAATTCACAAGTTTATATATCTCTCATGACCTCCTTCAGGCACATCATACACTATGCACAACCCTCAAAAGTTATGGCACATACCGATTCAAGGAATGCAGGTACTATATTATATCATTGGAGGCTTCTTGAATCTCCAGTGAGTATCATCTTCCACATTCCAATGCCCAGACATAACCGCCGTGCATTCCTCATGATGTTAGGAGCTGGAGACGCGATGAAACACGGTTAAGTATTCTTTTGTATTATGGTGTATCATGCTCTCCCAGAACTGATTGATGTCTTGCCACGATCAAGACGATATATCTCATCAGATACCCCTATTAAATACCCCTGTAGGGGTTTGGGTTCTCAGCGCGTTGTTTCACTGAAGTTTGCCGCTATACAATGGCCGCCATGGAAGAGAAGAATGACCTCCCCCACCTCCCTGCAACTTTGTAGCACTCAATCATTGCAGCTGCACAAAATTCTGTCGCAAGGCTTGGTATAAAGGCCTGTCCCTTGCGGATGTACTATGGACGTATGGAAGGCATAGGAGCCAAGTACCAATCGATCCAGACAGAGCATCTTGAGTACTCTACTGCATAGGTTAGCAGCTCGCTAGAAAGCAGCTCGTCAATGTCAAAGGAACGTACCTGTTGGAAGAAAAGGCATAAGGAGACAATGGCTGACATCATTGCTTATCTTATTGATGAGATCTGATAGGTCGGATCAAAGGGATAACGTTAGTCCGACTAGCGGACCTCCGATATATGGCCAGCGTTCGCCACACATATAGATAGTCAAGCACTCATCAAGCACTCAAGCACCCGTGTACTCTAGGCTACATTAGATAGAGTATATCAATCGTTTGTTTTAATTGGGTCTTCTACATATAGGCCTCGTGCAGTCGGATGATCGACTCCTCCGGTTTCCCCTGAACCTCCGACGGAACCCATTTCACTTATCATCGATAGTCACGTGTACTCAGCAGCCTCGACTCAGTTCGAGTTCTCCATCCTTGCAGCTCTGAACTCGCTGACAGGTCGGGTTATCATCGATTGAGAGAAGTAACTGAGTGTTAGCGAAGGCACAAGCGATGGATGGTTCCTCTCTTATCGGATGAACCACCAGACCCTCAACATGGCGGCCGATACCAGTCCTTCACGGCCGATGGACGCCTGTCCATCGTCGTCCAGGGCACCACCAATAACACCTCACAGTGTCAGAGAAGACGGATACGAACGCTACTACGAAGACGTCTATATGGATATTGAAATGGAACGATATACCCGAGCCACTGCGCGAAGTTTCACGCCCCGATCTCTTATCGCCGGAATCATCATCGGAGCCTTGATTACCTTCTCGAACACCTACTTTGGTCTACAGACGGGATGGATTAGTACAATGGCTATGCCGTCAGCCTTGATTGGATTCTCGGTTTTCAAGGTGTTATCGAAATACTTGTCGTACCCCTTCACACCGATCGAGAACGTCCTTATCCAGACTGTGGCGGGAGCGGTGGGAACAATGCCATTGGGATGCGGTTTCGTGGGTGTCATTCCGGCCTTAGAGTTTCTCCTTAAAGATGGACCTGATGGTCCTGCTGGAGATGGAGGTGAGGGAGAGGGCGGCCCTCTGAGACTAGGTTTCGGGAAATTGGTCCTTTGGAGTCTTGGAGTTTGCTTGTTTGGAGTGGTCTTTGCGGTTCCATTGAGGAAAGAGGTTATTGTGAGGGAGAAGTTGAAATTTCCTAGTGGAACTGCGTCGGCATTGATGCTTAGGGTGCTGCATCGGAGTGGACAGAGCGATAGGAAAGCAAAGACACGGGCTAGGCATTCTGCTGAAGTCCAGCGGGATGAAGAGGAGGATGAGGTTCTTGCCGCGCCGTATGAATCTGGGGAGAGTGGCTCTCTATTAAGAAAAAATCATGGAGACGATGGTGGGAAAGACTGGAGATCGAAGATGCGACTTTTGGTTGGCGCTTTCGCATTCTCTGGTGTTTACGTGGGTCTTGTTTCCAGCCAAGAACGCATTCCATGCTAACGACAGCAGACTCTCTTTTCCTACTTTGTACCCCAAGTCCGTGATATTCCAATCCTTGGCCTCTTCCTTGCACAGAACTGGCGCTGGACGTTGAACCCGTCCCCGGCATATATTGGGCAAGGAATCATCATGGGACCGTCTACTTGCATGCACATGCTCTTTGGAGCGATGCTCGGTTGGGGTGTCCTATCCCCGCTGGCAAAGTCGCGTGGCTGGGCTACAGGGCCTGTAGGCGATTGGCAAACAGGGAGCAAAGGATGGATCGTGTGGATCTCTTTGGCCATCATGCTTGCTGATTCAATCGTCAGCTTGGGATGGCTAGTGCTGAAACCTCTGATGGCACATGCACCCCAGATCAAGGCTGGAATACTCACCAGTCGCTTTGGACAGTTGTTGGTGAAGCCAGACAAACCCCAACAACGTTCCCATGTCAGTTATGCTGCGCTGAGCCCTATCACAGAGGTATCGACTCCTGTGTCTCACCAAAGTCCGCCAATCGATCATCAAGCCGATGAAGATGCTCCACCCTCTCAACTTATCTCTACGCGGACTGTGGTCGTCTTGCTGCCGTTGACGCTAATTCTAAATGTCATTTGCATGCACTTTGTCTTTGGTGATGTCATTTCCCCGATGCTATCCAGTCTTGCCACCCTGCTTGCCGTGCTGTTGTCGATCATGGGAGTCCGCGCCTTAGGAGAGACAGACCTCAACCCTGTGTCTGGGATAAGCAAGTTAACTCAGGTGATCTTCTCCGTCGCAACACCCGCCGGGCAATTCTCCCGCCGCACTGCGCTAGTAACCAACCTCCTCGCTGGAGCGGTATCCGAGTCCGGCGCCCTCCAAGCCGGAGACATGATGCAAGACCTAAAAACAGGCCACCTCCTCGGCGCAAGTCCCAAAGCCCAATTTTATGGGCAAATGATCGGCAGTCTAATCGGCGCAGTCCTTTCAACTGCCGTCTACAAAATGTACGTAAACGTCTACGAAGTCCCAGGCCCGATGTTCCAAACCCCAACAGCCTATACCTGGGTCATGACCGCCCGTCTCGTGACAGGTCAAGGTCTACCCCCGATGGCATGGCAAGCGTCCATCCTCGCCGGTATTGCTTTCATTGCAATAACCATCCTTCGCATCGTCGGCGCCTCACCCATCGCAAATAACGGCCAACACGGCATCACCGCACCATGGCGCGCATGGATCCCCGGCGGCATCGCCGTCGCAGTAGGAATGTTCAACGAGCCTTCCTTCACACTCGCCCGAGCAATCGGCGGCCTAATCGCATGGTGGTGGGCGCGAAAACACGCGTCAACTAACAAAACCAAAGACCGGAGATTTGAATTCGAGCCTCCTACGCAAGCTGCCACCTCTGCTCACGATGGACCTAGTCATGGATATCATCCGTCGATGCTTCTTGGACCGCCTCACATGGTTGATGGACGGTCTGCAGAACAGACGGCCGAGGAGGCGGATGCGGTGTCGTCGACGGTGGTGGTTTTGGCTTCGGGGTTAATTCTGGGAGAGGGGATTATTAGTATTGTTAATTTGCTGCTGGCGAGTGGTGGTGTTCCGCACCTGTAAGCATTTATACATATTCTGGTAAATAGGGTATCATGTCACTGCAAAGACATGTTAAACTGCATAGTACAAAAGACCATCAATATCCATGTACATCAACCTCAAATCTCACTCTTCTGGAAAGACAATGTCTCCAAATCCGGCAACTCAAACCGAAACCTCACATTCTCAACATCCATCCCCTCTACAAACTCCGGATACCGCTGAATAAATTCCGTCGTCAGCCCCCACCCACTCTCCCTCATAAACACCTCCATAAACTCCAGTCTCACCTGAAACCTATCCTCCTCATCCCTCTCAAGAACATCCTCACCCCACGGCCACCGCACCTTGATACAACACGATGCATAGCCTGCGAATTCCACGAAATCGAACTTTGTCCAGTTCTTTATCAAATTGGTACGGAGTTGCGGCCATGGCATTAAATCCAGCGCTGCCGGATGGCCCTTTTGCAATTGTATAGCAACAGGCCTCTGAAATGGCGCTAGTCGCGCAAAAGTCTCTGGACTCGGCGTCGCGCGCCATTTACTAAACAAATACGCCAACCAACCCAATGCCAAACATTCAGAGTCGCGGAACGCACGCCGCCGAATGAGGTGATGGATTTGGTTTGCGAGGTAGTTCCGGCGGGTACCATGGAGGAGGTCTAGGGGTGAAGGGTAGGGGGGACAGAGGGCGATAAGGTGCGGATTGGAGAGCCAGGGGCAGGTTGCGGGGAAGTAGAAGAGGTTGTGGCCATAATTGTTTATGGGGGTTTGGTACCAAGGGGGAAGGTCGGGTCCAAGATTTTGGAGGGGTGTAGATACGGATGTTTTTGTATCGATCGTGTGTTGTTTATGGCCGGTTGATGCAAGTGGGGAGGTTGATGCTGAGGCAGTTGTGGATGCGGACGCTGAAGCCATATTGTATCCAAGCGACAACATGGCATCATCACTGCTACCTTGCCTATTCAGCGCCAATCCCGCATCATGATGTCCATGCGCATCCTCAACCTCCCACTCCGTCACGACCCCCTTCAGTCTCTCCTGCCGTACCCGCAATCTCTCATTCTCCCTGCTCAAACTCTCGACAGTAGCAAGTAATCGCTGCACATCTGCCGCGGGTTGTGATTGCACTTGCGTTGGCTTCCACCCTACTCCATGCTCATGCGCCTGCGCCTGCGCATGTCCATGGTGCCGCTCACAAAAGGCAACCCGGTCTTCCAGTGACTTCACATGTGCGTCGCGTTTTTCTCTGAGTGTCTTCTGCGCTTTTCGGTCCCGGAGACGCTTTTTCTCGGATGATGTGAGGGAATTGGGAGCGTCATTGGGTCTGTACATGTCGGTTTAGGGAGATCAGAAGATGAAGGGAGAAAGGAAGGCGGTCTGTGGTTTTGACTGGCGGTCTGTCTGGAGTGGGTAATCCGGGGAAGTGTGGCGCCGTGGCTGGTTTATATAGAATTTTGGGATATACGTGTAAAGGGCTACTTGTAGGTTAGGCATAGTGTATTAATAGGCGTATGCCATATCATTAGTCTATTACATGCTGTAACCAAGTCTATATATATTTTTGGACATTACATCATACAACAAAAAGAAAAAAAAAAAAAAAAAAAAAA